AGGCTGCATTTAAAGCGTTGCCAAAGAAACACTTATGATCGTAGAGGGTAACTTTAGAATGTTTTAATTTAGCATTTGTTGGTTCTTCTTTTCTCGAGGGATTTTCTTCTTTTTTTTTTTTTGTGAGATAATTGATCAATAGTAGGAAAATTTTGGAAGTTCCGTTATGAGCATTTCAAATTTGTCACGAAGGTATATATTAATTAGTACAATGTAGCCGGCTTTCAGAGTGAATGAATTTATAAACGAAATCGAATTATTCTCTTTGGAGAGCCGCGCAATGTAACTCATTGTCGGTGAAAAAACATGGAACTGCATGGAAAATGAAACGTGGTGCAGTTTTATCGAAGCGTTTAATTGCAAACGAAATTAAAGGGGAAGTAGGGTAGAAAGGCGTAATTGTAAGGCCGTATAAATGATACAACAACGATGGAGTTGCCTCAGTTTTCTATTGTCCCATAATTTTCGTGTCTCGCGCCGGAGACACCGTAAATCGGGCTAAAACCTCCAAGTTGGACTGTAACGACGGTGAAACTCGAGAACCTAATTGAAATTTCTCTCTCTATATCTTGTGCGTCCCTCTGCCGCTTTCTAAGACTAATCGCGTTTAATTACACGGTAAATAATTAATAGTCCAATTTTGTACGCATGTTCGAAGATCTTGCTCGACAGCAAGCGCGGGGGGTTGAAAGTGGTCGCACGGTAGCATGAATCAATTATTGAATTACGATAGTAATTAAATGCCGGAAATCGTGTATTCTGAGAATTTCACTATCGAACCAATCGAAACACGTATGTAAACGTTCAATTGTCGATATTCAACAATGATTAATATGTAGGTCAGGTGAGACTAATCCTATGAGCGTTATACTATTTTAACGGATCGCTATAAATACAAACATGCGCCTCCCGTTGATAGAACATCCTGACAGATACCTAAGAATGCGCCTGCATACTGTTACTCCCGAAAATATTTTGACACTATAATAAGTTCGCCTTTCTATTTAATGACGTATTTATTTCGGTTAATTGTGAAGGGATTAGATTGATATTTCTCATTACGAAACGTCATTTATTGTAATTTAGATTCACGTATTGGTGGTTTAATGCATTTGAAAAGTAATAAATAATTTCGACCAAATATCCTTATTACCCTCATCTTTCAGTACGATATTTATCTCTTCAATGTGGGACGATTGCCGATAAAAAAAAAAAATACGTGTCAAATGTTCTTTTTAGTACAACCATATACTAAACTTTCATAAATATCGGTGATTATCACTTCGAGATGTTTCCTCGTGACTGATATCTTCCTATTCACACGTTTAACCCCTTAACTTATGATTTTTTCTGCTGACTTTGCATCTAAGCACTCTTCGCATCTATTTAGTGTTTCACTGCTGTATTAATTAGAAAAGGCTAATTTATTACAGATTAATCAAATTTGGTAATCGCCAGCTTATAAAACGAAAATTAGAGCTAAGAAGAATTTTCCTAAAAATTCAATCGAATCGAATAAAAATGAAAAATTAACACTCATTTGTCATCTGCTCTTTTTCTTTGTGTACATTTCATTGCCACTGGTAAACGCATGTTACGAAAAGGAGAGAGACATCCTGCGAGCGTTGTAAATTCTTGAAACTGCTGAAAATAACAACGGTTACGCCGGGATGTAAAGTGACCGATCGAGGAGGGGGGCGGTTCTGATATTAATATCGGGATGTTCACTCACCATATCAGATGGAGGATGAACAAGAAAGCACCGGGCACGACGAGGTCGTCACTGCCGACGCTCCATCGACGTCGGAATACCACGATACCAGGCATCTCTTCGTCTCGATCGTCTGGCCGTTTTTATCTCTTCCATTCAATCGGCCACGATGCTCGAACTCCGCCACGATCAGGCCGGGTATCGCAATCACCGGCTGCTGCTGCTGTTGTTGTTCCTCTTCGTCCTTAAATCACCGGACGATGCGAACTTGAACTTTACTCCGGGACCTCTTTGAAACACGACACGAACGCCGGTTGCATTGTCGAGGTCGTCGTCGCGTTCCCCGACGCGCATTTCCGTAACTGTGATCCAGCAGGCCGTGGATCCTCTCCATCCTCCTCGCGGGCAGACTTTATCGGAAACCGTTCGAACGGTCGTCTTTTGCTCGAACGAATCCAACTTCGATATGACGGTGCACCGTTCTAGCAACGTGACGGCAGAGCGTCACGTTTCGTCGATTATATCAAGACTGATGTATCACATCTCGAACACTTTTCCTTAAAGTTTGCTTTACTCTTCTAATTTTTCTTTTTTCTCAGTTCTCTTAATTATCACCGTCCACTGACACAGATTTTTGTTAATAAAGAAAATCGATCGTTTTCACTGGAATCTTCTGAGAGGATGCTGCGCGATAAGGCGCTAACTGAAGGAGACGAGTGCAAATAATTAATACGATAAATAGCGTATATTCCTCGTGTTGATTTCACCTACACACAAACACACACTTAAGCTGGTACAATGGCGAATGTCGACATCGAATCGTGCACCGAAGTTTCCCGGAGGAATATTTGACTCTCGTTAGTGCTTTTTAGGAAACGGCGAACCGTGCCGCGCGAAATAGCCTGCGACTTGTAAACCCTGTTGCGCTGTCGAGGAAAACGTTTCCGCGCATAAGTTGGCAATTCAATTAATGGAATTTCCTGTTTTCGTTACGGTCGGTAAGACGAAGCTAACAAATGCTCGGTTTCGTTTTAAAAGACATTGTTTCTCGAATCCATTGTGAGCTCTCGTCCACCTCGTCGTCTTATTTTTGTACCTCTCTTTGGAGAAGAATGAGCATCGTGCAACAATAGATGATAAGAAGAGAGGAGAATTATTGCTTTTTTTTCTTCTTTTTGCAATAATGAAATTGGGACAATAGAAGAGATCTCTTATGTGTATTAAATTATCCGCAAAAATTGAAATAGATTATTACCTTTTGTTGCAATCCTGGTTTCGCAGAATCGAAGTTTCGATTGTCGCGCGAAAAATCGAATGTTTATTCGCAATCGTGCGCGTTTCGGGAACGAAATTCGCGCCGCGGAAAAAGAATAATTGCAACCTGCGGCAGAATTGCTCGGGGAACGGTGAAACTTTTAAGCGACGACACAATTCTGAAATTATCCTGTTCAGCCGAGGTGCTGGAGAATTTGATTCGAACGAAGAAGCCACGAAGAAGAGCGAAATCTTTTTGTCGCATTCGCAGAAACTGTTTTAGCTGGGATGAATGAAATCTGTTAAGAGGGCCAGAAGAGACGTTGAAAGAAAGGCCTCGTTGTGTTCGCGATAAGTGGAATTCTAAAGAGAATGACGCAGCACACCGTCTGTACTAATCATTGTCGTTGTTAAATTGAAATTCAATCGAACGAAGAAATAAACTTAACGCCTGTAAACCTGTACAACATCGCTACAGCTATTTCTAACACTGAAATTATCTCTAATACCGAATTAATACCTCCGTCTACACGCAAGATCGATACTAATTAAGTTATCAACGTCTCTCAAAATACTTGTACGTACTACTTCCTACCTGAGGTAGAGAACCCTTTAATACTCTCTATGCAGCTACTTCCTCGACACAATAGACGAACACTAAAAGCGAGAATTCGTTCTTTTTCCCCGTTGAAATTCACACCTTACCGTTCGTCCATCGACACACTTTTCAGTCAAGAAGATACGGTAAACGATAAGAAAACAATTACCACGTATCACCGGGCTGTTTCGACCCGAACACACAGCGAGTTTCTTCCACCGTCACAACGAAACAACTACGGATATAGTTCACAAGACCGACCCCGTTCGATCTTTCTGCAACACGTTTCCTCCTTTGAAAAAAAAAAAAAGGCCACCTTCCGTTTCACTGGAAACGCCAGCCAGGGAGCCCGATGATGAATCGTGAAGATCGACCCCGTTTGATATGATTTGCAGGGGCTGAAAGACGTGTTCCACCCGGCAAAGCCGATCGGCCGGCGTTACCGTCTAGGATGCCGCAACGCGTGTGTCTGCGCCCCTATCATCGTCTCTCCCCGTGGAAAATCCGTGACAGGACGCGACAACGGGAACGGATGCATTTTACACGCGAAACCCAGAGCTGAAGACGCGCCACGTGCCGAATATTCATCACATCGTGGACGCGTTAGCGCGTCACAACGGAAACACCTATTCTCACGCGAACGTCGAGGTGAGCCACCTCGAGCGCGACTGAGCCACCGAATTTTAAGCCATCGTGCACCTTCCGAACAGTTCCGAGGGCGCTCAATTTATGGACGCGCGTGCGTCGCGACGCCTCTTGTGCAGCAGACGCTGCGTCGCGGCGACCACGCTCCGCCTCGTTTGCGCCTCGACAGTCGTCGAACAACGGTGACGAGCAGCTCGTCGTCGTGTGTCATATTATTTCAGCTTCTATGTATCTTGCGAATCAGATAGAAAGAAACTTTGTTTGTTTCATTTGTGAACTTTGATCTGGTTCAGACATTTGGCGTTGTTTTCTTCTTCAGATTCTATAGGATGATGCATAAACATTGCTTTAGATCGTCGAGTTGTGCAATATTGTAGATGTGCATTTCTGGTGAAAATGAAACTGATAGTTTTCAATTTAGACGTTTTTTTCTTTTTGCAATAGTATGATAATTGGATTGCTTTCTTTTCGTTTTATATCATTTGAATGTTTTACGAGGGGGTGCAACGAGATGTATTACGCGATTAGCGTGAGATTTGATCTTGTACAATGAAACGAAAGATAATATTGTAGTCAATCGTATATATGGAGCGAATAACTAACAAAAACTTATCTATTTAGTCACGACAGTTGCTAATTATCTTCAGTTGAACAAAACTCGTGTAATATTAATGATATCATTCTCGTGCTTTGTTGTAGTAGAGGCTTTTCCTTGGAGAAACAGATTATAATTTCACATAGATTTAATTGAAAGTAAGTAGCCTTGTTTAGCTCTGATTTTCCTCTTAGAGTAAACGTTTTGGGACATTAACGATGCAAAAATATATTTTATATCTAAAAAATATTTTTTTCAAAAATATATGTTTATAATAACACTTTAATATGTATAGTTAAGTCTTTACATATATTACAGGATTACTTCAATGAAGCATATTAATTTAACAAGTGTATATAATCATAAACTAATTGGAAATGCAATTTGTAATTTGACAATTGCTTTTTTAAATATATGTATAATTATGGCATATTAATGTTATAAATATTATACTGTATTGTGCAGTGTAAGTTTAAAATAATGATTTTCTCATGTTTCTTGTTTTCACACAGCCAAACATAATGCAAATGGAATATTTAATTATTTAACGTACATTAGTTTCTCGCCCGATCGTAATTCTCTATGTACCAATTGACAGTTTCTTTAATGGCTTGATTAAATGGTGTGAATTGAAAATCTGGTAAAAATTTTCGAAGTTTTGCGTTGCTTGCTGTTTTTTTATATTGTCCTTCAGCTGCAGATAAATCATATACCACTTTTCCTTTGAAATTAAAGGCTTGTGCTATTGCTTCAGCTGCTTCAGAAATTGTGACTTCCTGGGATTCATCAACTGTATCAAAAATAAATAACTTAATAATAACGTGAAATAAATATATGTCAATATTAATTTAATGCATTTTATCTACCTGATAATATAATTGGCTCCACAGACTTATACTCCTGCAATACCCATATTATTAACTTAGCTAAATCTATGCTGTAAATAAATTGTCTCAAAGGCTTTCCAGAACCTAACACAGTAAATTCTTTACTTTCAGTATTTCCTAAAAAAACAAATACCAACAATATTCTTTACAGTAAATGATAATTATGAAAATTTTATTGGGAATATTTTATACCATCTTTTATTATGTCATAAAGTCTTCTCATTAAACCTGGTATAACATGACTGGCATCAGGTTTGAAATTATCATTTGGTCCAAATACATTACATGGAATAATGCTAGTATAAATTCTACCATACTGTTCATAATAACCTCTATTTTGGATATCTATAAGACGCTTAGCATAACTATAGCCATAATTTGATGAATGAGGTGGTCCATTGTGAATCTAAAGACATAAGAAATAAAAGAAGAAATATGAGAATCAAATGAGACATTAAAAGTTATTAATATCAAATATAGGATTACCATGGTTTCATCAATAGGATATGTTGTTTTATCAGGGAATATGCATGTTGACAGACAAGAAATGACTTTAACAACACCACTTTCATGAGCAGTTTGTAATACATTATCATTCATGTGAATATTTTGCCGCTAGAAATATATGGTACATAGTTTGATCAATTGAATAATGACATTGGACATGCTATAAAGTTATCTCTGTTTACCAAAAAATCCAAATTGTGTGTCATATTATAGAATAGACCACCAACCATAGCAGCCAAATGAATAACATGTGTAGGCTTGTGTTTTTCAAATAGCTTCTCTGTACTCTGCTTGTCACTGAAAATATGACATTTTACTTTAGTCAGATCAATTACCTTATTGGCATATAACACTTAAATAATAAATTACCATAAATCTGCATCTTTGGACCCTACAAATATCCACTTTTCATTTTCATTTTTATTTGTTTCAACAACAGTTTGTATAGCTTTCCCAACTAGTCCTGTTCCACCAGTTACAAGTATAATTTTTTCACTTACAGACATGTTTCATAAAATCTATGAAAAATTATAAATTTAAAAATTTAGATTTTCTTTGTTTCTTAGGTATATAATGAAATTGAAATTCTTAAAAACAAATGTCACAGTGCAATTCAGTATGGTCACAAACAAGATACAGGATAACCCTAACACGTAATATACTTTTGTGTCCAATGTTCTAAAATACAGATCGTGTAGAAAATCATGCGTGTAGCTGTTGGGGAATACTAAACTTCCCTATCCCGATTCACCTATTATAAGTCCCGTTCACAATTAACGTTACTTTATTAATTATCACTATATCACATAAAAATAAATAATTAAAAATTAAATCAAATTGTTGCATGCTTTAACATGGAAAAATTAATATTCTTTTCGTATGACTTACAGATGGACTTTCCAGGACGCCATAGAAATCAAGAAGAAAAGGACTTGAACATTAGGAAAACTAAAGAAATGCATTTATTTATTGTAAGACAACTGTAAAAATGTATTTTACAAAAAGCTACAATATACCAGTATTGTTTCACAGCATTTTACAGTCCATTTATTTATACCTTTCACACCACGTCCTTTTGCAAAAAATTCATTACTTAAACAATATTCTATTGCAAAATTAAATAAACTAAGTCCGAGAATCGCCAAGAACGCATAGAAATCAAAGCAACAATACAAAGAAATGAGTAAGACAAGGAAGAAATAAGGGTTAACAACGATAGTACTACTGCCGTGTGTTAGACAAGGAAAGGAACAGGGGGAGACGAGGATAGAAATAGTACCGTGTGTTAGACAAGGAAAGAAATAGGGATAGATAAGGATAACAATACTACCGCGTATTAGACAAGGAAAGGAATAACGGTAGACAAGGATAGCAACACTACCACGTGTTAGACAAGGAAAGATATAGGGTTAGACAAGGATGAAAAATTTTACAAATGGAGAGTAACGCCATCTCGTGTTTGGATCCACGAACTGCCGACTTGTTACGCGGGTCACAGAATGTGAATAGAGGTATTAGACAAGGAAAGCACTAGTGTGCGACAAGGATAGAGAGAGAAGCGTTTCCTATTGGCTGGCGGGTCCCTGAGCTCCGCCAATCAGGCCCTAAGTTAAGCCGGTCAGTGAAAAATCATTAATAACTCGATAATTACGATGATTTTGTGAACTTTTAGAATTGAAGAATGAAGTGTGGACCTTCAGCAACTTTCTCATATAGATTTTAATGCCCTAGAACCTTTCAATAATTAGTTATTAACAATTTTAGCAGGTAATGTCGGGAACGATACCGCATACATTTACGGTTTTTCTATAATTTCATATCTTTCTACTAAATTCTCATGCAACTAACTGTATGCATCTGAAATTTAACTCCTTTAGCTACATTCTCATATAATTTTTATTGACATATTCCTTGTGGTTTGATAGTTATTTAACATTCTTTGGGAATATTATTTGGGAGCGTCCCTATTCATCGTACTCGCGTCAAGTGGAATCTTATAAACAATCGCGAATATTTAATAAACCACACCACTTACGGTTACGAAACCAATTGCAGAATATAGATAAAAGTCCATTCCACATTCTCCATGCTTAAAAGTGCAGAATTAATCACGCATTTCTATTGAAATAACCAAAATGTGTTACGATTGAATGCCACGGGTGTAATACTCTTCCAAAGAATGTTCAATAAATCTTAAACTAGACGGAATATGTTAATAAAACTTATATGAGAATATAGCTAAAAGAGTTACCTTTCAAACGCATATAGCTATTTGCATGAGAATTTAACAGAAAGTTATGAAATTATTGAAAATCCTGAAAGATATTGCATTTTTATTACACTCGTCGCATACAAATGTACACATTTTCGCTATTTCTATAGAAATTGCGTGATTAATTTTACACTTTTAAGTATGCAGAATGTAGAACGGACTTTTATCTATATTCTGCAATTTGTTTGGTAGCCGTAAGTGGTGTGGTTTATTAGATATTAGCAATTGTTTGTAACAGTTCGCTATACTCGAGTACGATGAATAGGGGACGCTCCCATATAATATTTCATAACTCCTAAACTAAACTGAATCTGTTTATAAAAATTATACAAGAATGTAGCTGAAGGAATTGTCTTTCAGACGCGTGTAGTTAGTTGCATGAGAACTTTGCAGAAAGCTGGGGTTGCCGATCCCTGGAATAGACTAATCATCCAAGGCTGATAAACTGTGACGATTAGTTCTAAAATTGTCTACTAGCTGGCAGCATCATCCAATAGTCCTAGTGCTGACATCTGTGGTTACAATATAGTACCTCTGGTAAAAAATTAAACGTTAATGTTAACTTAGATAAGGACAGGCTAATGCGTGACTAATTAAACACTTTAAAGCTTGTAGAATGTAGAATGAACGTTTATATATGTTCTGCAATTTGTCTGGCAGCTGTAAGTGGTGTGGGTTATTAGATATTAGCAATTGTTTGTAACAGTTCTCTATACTCGAGTACGATGAATAGGGGACACTCCCATATAATATTTCATAAGTCCTAAACTAAACTGAATCTGTTTATAAAATTATATAAGAATGTAGCTGAAGGAATTGTCTTTCAGACGCGTGTAGTTAGTTGCATGAGAACTTTGCAGAAAGCTGGGGTTGCTGATCCCTGGAATAGACTAATCGTCCAAGGCTGATAAACTGTGACGATTAGTTCTAAAATTGTCTACTAGCTGGCAGCATCATCCAATAGTCCTAGTGCTGACATCTGTGGTTACAATATTGTACCTCTGGTAAAAAATTAAACGTTAATGTTAACTTAGATAAGGAACGGCTAATGCGTGACTAATTATACACTTTAAAGCTTGTAGAATGTAGAATGAACGTTTATCTATGTTCTGCAATTAGTCTGGCAGCAGTAAGTGGTGTGGGTTATTAGATATTAGCAATTGTTTGTAACAGTCCGCTATACTCGAGTACGATGAATAGGGGACACTCCCATATAATATTTCATAAGTCCTAAACTAAACTGAATCTGTTTATAAAATTATATAAGAATGTAGCTGAAGGAATTGTCTTTCAGACGCGTGTAGTTAGTTGCATGAGAACTTTGCAGAAAGCTGGGGTTGCCGATCCCTGGAATAGACTAATCATCCAAGGCTGATAAACTGTGACGATTAGTTCTAAAATTGTCTACTAGCTGGCAGCATCATCCAATGGTCCAAGTACTCACATCTGTGGTTACAATATAGTACCTCTGGTAAAAAATTAAACGTTAATGTTAACTTAGGCTAATGCGTAAGTGGTGTGGGTTATTAGATATTAGCAATTGTTTGTAACAGTTCTCTATACTCGAGTACGATGAATAGGGGACACTCCCATATAATATTTCATAAGTCCTAAACTAAACTGAATCTGTTTATAAAATTATATAAGAATGTAGCTGAAGGAATTGTCTTTCAGACGCGAGTAGTTAGTTGCATGAGAACTTTGTCGAAAGCTGGGGTTGCCGATCCCTGGAATAGACTAATCGTCCAAGGCTGATAAACTGAGACGATTAGTTCTAAAATTGTCTACTAGCTGGCAGCATCATCCAATAGTCCTAGTACTGACATCTGTGGTTACAATACTGTACCTCTGGTAAAAAATTAAACGTTAATGTTAACTTAGATAAGGACAGGCTAATGCGTGACTAATTATACACTTTAAAGCATGTAGAATGTAGAATTAACGTTTATCTATGTTCTGCAATTTTCCTGGCAGCCGTAAGTGGTGTGGGTTATTAGATATTAGCAATTGTTTGTAACAGTTCTCTATACTCGAGTACGATGAATAGGGGACACTCCCATATAATATTTCATAAGTCCTAAACTAAACTGAATCTGTTTATAAAATTATATAAGAATGTAGCTGAAGGAATTGTCTTTCAGACGCGTGTAGTTAGTTGCATGAGAACTTTGCAGAAAGCTGGGGTTGCCGATCCCTGGAATAGACTAATCATCCAAGGCTGATAAACTGTGACGATTAGTTCTAAAATTGTCTACTAGCTGGCAGCATCATCCAATAGTCCTAGTGCTGACATCTGTGGTTACAATATAGTACCTCTGGTAAAAAATTAAACGTTAATGTTAACTAAGATAAGGACAGGCTAATGCGTGACTATGAAAAGTTTCAGAGCATTAAAATCTATATGAGAAAGTTACTTAAGGTTCACACTTCATTCTTCAATTCTAAAAGTTCACAAATTCTTCGCAGATAATGAGTTATTAAATTTTATTTGGATCAGTATTAAACTCGTCGTATTCAAGAGTAATAGATTTCCGTCATTTTCACGAATATGCATGATTAATTATGCACTTTTAAGCATGGAGCATGTGGAATGGACTTTTATCTATATTCTGCAATTAGTTTCGTAACCGTAAGTGGTGTGGTTTATTAAATATTCGCGATTGTTTCTAAGATTCCACTTGACCCGAGTACGATGAATAGAGATGCTCCCAAATAATATTTAATAACTCCTAAACTAAACGGAATATGTTCATAAAAGTTATATGAGAATGTAGCTAAAGGAGTTGCCTTTTAGATACGGGTAGTTATTTGTACAAGAATTTAGTAGAAAGCTATAAAATTATTGAAAAACCGGAAAGATACTTGACGGTATGCGGTACCGTTCCTGACATCGCCTGCTACAATTGTTAATAACTAATTATTGTAAGGTTCTAGGGCATTAAAATCTATATGAGAAAGTTGCTGAAGCCCCACACTTCATTCTTCAATTCTAAAAGTTCACAAATTCTTCGCAAATAATGAGTTATTAAATTTTATTTGGATCAGTATTAAACTCGTATTCAAGCGTAATAGATTTCCGTCATTTTCACGAATATGCATGATTAATTATGCACTTTTAAGCATGGAGAATGTGGAATGGACTTTTATCTATATTCTGCAATTAGTTTCGTAACCGTAAGTGGTGTGGTTTATTAAATATTCGCGATTGTTTATAAGATTCCACTTGACCCGAGTACGATGAATAGGGACGCTCCCAAATAATATTTAATAACTCTTAAACTAATCGGAATATGTTAATAAAAGTTAGACGAGAATGTAGCTAAAGGAGTTGCCTTTCAGATACGGATAGTTATTTGTACGAGAATTTAGTAGAAAGCTATAAAATTATTGAAAAACCGGAAGGATACTTGACGGTATGCGGTACCGTTCCTGACATCGCCTGCTACAATTGTTAATAACTAATTATTGAAAAGTTTCAGAGCATTAAAATCTATATGAGAAAGTTGTTGAAGGTCCACACTTCATTCTTCAATTCTAAAAGTTCACAAAATCATCGTAATTATCGAGTTATTAATGATTTTTCACCGACCGGCTTAACTTAGGGCCTGATTGGCGGAGCTCAGGGACCCGTCAGCCAATAGGAAACGCTTCTCTCTCTATCCTTGTCGCACACTAGTGCTTTCCTTGTCTAATACCTCTATTCACATTCTGTGACCCGCGTAACAAGTCGGCAGTTCGTGGATCCAAACACGAGATGGCGTTACTCTCGATTTGTAAAATTTTTCATCCTTGTCTAAACATATATCTTTCCTTGTCTAACACGCGGTAGTATTGCTATCCTTATCTATTCCTATTTCTTTCCTTGTCTAACACGCGGTACTATGTCTATCCTTATCTATCCATATTCCTCTCCTTGTCTTACTCATATATCATCGAGCACATCTTCAGAAATGTAGTATTATTTATCAAGTCAGATGATTTTTAAAATAGAAATTCTTTGAATTTTTCGTTTTTAATAATAGTTATTGTGAATTAGAGCATAACTGCATGTAGTAAGCAGTTTAAAATTGATACTTATAATAAATATTTAATTGCTGTAACATTACTCATAATGTAAGTAGTAAAATAAAGTTTCTGGTTTATTTTCGAGTACTTTATTTATAGAATAATTAGTGTTTCTTGTTAAATAACAATTTAGGTGGCAGTTTATAATCAATGGAAGTATTAATTAAAATTATTTTATGCTTTAATTTAATAAAACAGCTTAATATATTAATTTTACATTGAATTCAGTGGATCAGTCAGAAAATTTTTATAACATTTATTTAACATTTGAGAATTAATATTCTTTTCGTATGAATTACAGATGCATCTTCCAGTACACCACAGAAATCAGGGAAAGAATTTGAACACCAGGAATATTGAAGAAATGTAATTATTTATTGTAGGATAACTGTACAAAATTTATTTTACAAAAAGCTACAAATACCAGCATTGTTTTTCAGCATTTTGCAGTCTATTCGTTTGTCTCTTACACACCACACCTATTTCCTTTTGTGAAACATTCATTCTTTAAATAATATTTAAATAATAATAAAAATCGAATAATAAAAAATTGAAAAATTCCAAAGTTTAACCCAACATAAGTAACTATATGTATACATACTTAAGTACATATTATACATTTAGAAATATAGAATTCGCTGAATCGGTAACGTTGGAAGCGATACGAAAATGGTAAGTGAACTCTGGAGCACCTGTGATGTGTATTCAAAAATAAAACATTCCAGGTGCTACATTTGCATTGGAAAAGACAACAAATTTAGGATAATTCGTGATAAATATAAAACATATATTTGTAATATGCACTCTGTATTTAACCAAACAATTTTACGTAATAGATATAATGAAACAAATATACAATAAATATCATTTACTTATAATTTGCAACCTTATTATCCTGTATTTTATTACTTATAGTAATACTCGTAGCAATAGCATTTATGAGAAACAATTAGGTGTATATAACGTAAAATTCAAACATATAAAGAACGGTAACCTATTCGGTACATATAATATTAGCAAGCTTTTAGCATAGGTCACAATAAACCTGGTCACCGGATTCCGCATTCCATACTCCGAGAGTTAGATAAAATATATATTTTCAATCATTTTAAATAATAATATACAGTGCTGTAAAATGATACAGTAACAATATTTTAGTCAAATTAAAAACATTACACTCATAAAACTGTCCTTGCAATATTACATACATCATATTTTCGTAATCATTTGGTAACATTGACGACTAACAATACTTTTGTAACTTACATGTAAAAAATGAAATACAAACAAATATTTCATTAACATCCAGGATCCACATCGCTTACAAAATATGCATTCCGAACCGACAAGTCAAAATGCAATTTTAACTATTTACACACAATAAAAACGTTCGCCGCCATCTGCCAGCAAAGATAGAAAACCATTATCTCATGTATGTGTTATCTGATAACTTGTTTTATAAAGAATGCAAATCAATCAAGGAAAGGGAATCTTTTAATTTTCAAGCGTTACATTTTAATTATGTGGGTGTACTGTTACATTGGATTATGATTCAATTTTGGCAGTGTAATTTATTTCATACTTCGTTATCATTTTAATACAAAATATTTACAATTGTTTGGAAGTCGATGACTACTAATCAAGGCTGATGGCAGTGTTTGTACCTGATACTTTTAACAATCTATCGGAACTTTTTGACAGACGTATCCTTTCTTCTGGCTTTAATATTTCAGCTATTATCTTCTCATCGCTTCGTCGTTCTGGTTTACGCAAAAGATCTTGTGTTTTATTGCATTGTTGCGTCACACAAGAATCGCCTGCCGCCTCTTCGACGACGACATCCAATTGTGCTACTTGAATATCAGAAAATGTAAGTCTTCCGTTAATCTTACTTTCTGAAGGCACACGGGAATCGGGTTCAAGTGCCGTCGTGGAAATGGGAGATCGCAATAATTTCTCATCATTGCTATCATTTTGCTTTAGAATATTAACTGCTTCCGCGGAGAGCTGCGTTATAATATTAGAATTAAAAATTTTTTCTACATATCATAATTTAAATCATTACTCAATTTTTCTGTATAAACTTACTGCTTCAAAGGTGGAATCTAGGAATAATTCTTGTAAAAATCGGCGTGCTGGCATTCTATAAGTATTATTACCTAAATGGGCAGCTACATCCGAAAATAAACAAATATCCTATAATATAAAGCAAGGTAATATATAAATAAATTATAAATATATGCTGCCTCTTACTTTTAAAACTGAATTTAAATGTGTACCTGAAACACTCCCGCGTGTAACTGTCTTAATCTAAGCAAAGTTTGACGACTGTTTCGGTACCATACAGGATTTGCCAAGCGTTGTACATGTCTAAGAATTTTCCTATTCGAATAATATAAACATTATTAAAGTTAATGTTAATTCATTTTACTATAAAAATCAACGTATCTATTTACGGTGTACCATTTCAAATAACACTACAATTAATTAATGTTACCTCTGTAACTTTAAGTCTTTTTCTGGAATCGAATCTTTGCTGCTACTTTTACCGTGATAACATACTAAACATATACGATAATGTTCTGCATCTACGTCACTCTCAGAGCAAGATTCCTCATCTACTTCTGTCGTTTCTATATCAGACTTAGGTGCATCGTCCAGCGTTATAGTCGGAATTGACAAGTATGGTGGTTCCGGAAAAATAGTTATAAGTCTCTTTGGAAGGGCAATACCCATGTAAAATAAATTATCGTTATTATCTTCAGGGGGTGGGGGTGTTGGAACGAGTACATGTTCCGCAATCCAGTTGCGAGATGAATCAAATTCGGATAAGCTTTGCAACGAAAGTCGACCATCTAAACTATACATCTAAAATAAAATACACCCATTTAATCGAATGTTTCACGAAGCAGGTAATCAATTTTCAAACACTTTTACCTCTAAACTACTTTGGGAATAACTTGGTCTCCGATGACGTTGTAAACTACGAAGCCTTGCATACCCCTCAGCATCTTGTTGGCTTAATCTTTGAATACTTGAAATAGGGCTTGGTGTTTCCCCTCTTTCTCTGAAACGACACACAATTGTAGAAAATATTATTAATTAATGTAAAATTACTTAGAATATTCTTACGGTAGAGCGTAGCGCCTAGCTTCAAGATCTGTAGCTGCACTTTCAGATCGATTTCTAGTTCTTCGAGCTACTGGTTCAGGTAACTCTGGTTTGCCATCGCTGAGACTCCGATGATGTCGTTGTATAGGAATTGGACTTGGCGCTGGATATCTACTCGTAGGAGAAACAACCGGCCAGTGATCTCCGCGTCTATGTCTAACACATGGCCACTCGAAAGACGATAGTGCATCTGCACCTGCACGAGTTGTACCGATGAGACTAAGGGCATACATAGCCGTTGCACGCACTACGTAATACGAACACGTTTCTGCTATGGAAGCTATCAATTCTATAATTCCTAAATGATTCAATTGTTCTACTCCTGCTGCCGAAGTTCCTGCATGGCCAAGCACCCACAGTGCAGACTTCATTTTTAAGATTCTTTTATTTAAATTCGCAACTTGATCGTCTCGAGATTCAGGTTCCAACCTCCAACTTTTTTCTGGAGTAGTACGTCTGGAATCGTCTAAACTTGTTTTTCGACGAATATCGACTAAGGAGTCCACCTTTTGTGGACAACATATATCAACACCCTCTACAGTTTCTGAATCCATTATTGTCTCTAATCTATTAGATTCTACTGTCTCGTCTGTACCAGATTCCTCGGACATGGCATAAGCATCGTCAACCACAGAACGATTAGTTTTAGTACATCTTGAATTAGATTCTGAATCTCTATTACCGAATTCTAGTCTAAATCGTTGAACGACTCGAGCAAAACGTTGAATCACATTTCTACGTAACAATAGCTGCGCACCTAGATCGTGCTGTGCCAATTGGCCTATTAAATGTGGAAGAATAAAAATATTATGAGGTGTCATGGGAACATTACTTGTTCTTCTATAATAACTTCCTGTTTCGTTTCTTTGACGACGTGTTAAAGAATCGTGTATTTCTCCCTCTATTAAACCAACATATCTCTCTGCAAAACCTCCTGGGTTGATCCACTTTTCCAATTCTTCCGCGGGCGAAGAAAGTGTTGTAAAACTTTGACTAAGAGAGTATAGTCGAATTTTAAGTAAGTAACCTTTATCACCTAATTCTTCCAACCATTTATCCCAATCTCGAGACTGAGCTCCTTGTTGCAATAAAGCTTCTAAATATTCTGGTTCTTCGCAAGCTTCGTGTAATGCCTCTAATGCAGTTAGCGCTATAGTTTTATTAGAATCTGAGAGCCGATCCGACAATAATAATATTGCCCAACGATAGGCATCAGCCATTCTGGCTCTGAGTATCAATCGAAGGAACTGTGTCGCATATAGACGTGTACTGTCTAATGTTGCTTCTGTAATAATCTTAGTCAATACTTTCCTATTAGGTCCATCCCTAGAATAATCTAAGCTTGATATTATAAGTTTAACATAACAGTCATGATTAGTAGCTAAAGCCAAGTCTTGCAACTTTCCTAATAAATGAAATTCCTTTAGAATCCTAGTCCCTTTCGCTGAATGGCTCAACTGGCCAAGAAAGAGGAAATACTTTTGACAACAAGTGGTAGACATATGACGAGGCGAAAATAAACACTCGTGAGCAGATTGAGCTGTTTGGATGCTAGTTATTTGCTCAGCAATTTCTCCGATTAATTCAAATAATAATTTTGTACTTTCAGGTTCATGAATTTCCAGCAAACAATTCAATAAATCACAACCAGCTAATGTTGCTTCTCGTGCTAAATTGGCGTTCGTTGCTAATTCCACTCTACTGTATCCATTTGAACATGGTTTAAAATAACGTATAAGTCTTTTCATAAATAATCTGTGATCAGAATCATGGAGTATTCGTACTGTATCTTCCCGTGAGCGTAATATAGATCGTACAACTGGCCAATTCCAAGCAAGAGCGTCTTTACTACTGAGTACTTGAGCATCTTTCAAAAGAGGCGTAGTCGGTGATTCTCTACGTAACCAGTGTCTACTAGATGTTCGTTGACGCCTTGGTAATGTTGGCCTTAACCAAGTACCAGCTTGTAAAAGTTTATCGAGAAATAGGCTTGCAGGTGCCGGTCTTCGTCGCATCATAGTGTGCATTCGTTCCAAAATCGTAACAGCTGCTAAAGCTTGATGCTTTCCAGCACTTGCATGTTCCAGTAAATTTGGTAAGGGAGGAGTAAGATCACATACTTCAGAAGGCAAAAGAGAATGTGCAAGATGTAATAATGCACCCAATAGAACAGCTGCACGTACAGAAATAAAAGTATCAGTGGAAACAATAGTTTCTGCTAAAGCTCGATGTAGACCACATTCCAATAAAGCATAAACTAGTAATGCTAAATGTATTTCTGTAATATTTGGACAGCGCGATGATAAGGATGGTAAAATATATTTTCCTTCAGCTGCAACAAAACCTTCTGACAATTTCCAAGAATCATGTGCTCTACTAGGATCTACTGCTGCTAGAGCAACATCAGGTTCATCTGTCCAAGTAGGTAAGGGTAAATCCAACAATTCATAAAGTAATTCTAAAACAGCAGCTCTTACTTCAAGTTGTTCAACATATAACATATCTGCTATAGCTTTCAACCCTGAATTATCATCAGGTCTACAAAAATGTAAAACTCCAGAATAAGATCTCAATATACTTAGTAATGCTAGTTTGCTTGCTGCAAATCTTTCTCGTTCTTCTTTTGTTCTATCTATATTTAGTGAATGAAGCTCACAATAAGGAGCTGCAAAACATAAAAGAGAAACACTACTCCTAGTATCAGGAGTATTTAATAATTTTAACAAAACTCCTACAACAGATTCAATTATAGCAGGGCTTTGTCCAGTCATAGCAGCTCTTGCAAGGGCACCAATTCCTCCACAACTGATTAACAAATTTGAATTTAAAACACCCAGCTCACAAAGAATTGCTAAAAATGCTCTAAATGCTCCATCTTTTTCTTCAACTCCTCCATTTGTTAAGCTAATTAGAGATCTTGCTAAAACAGGACTAAAATGTTTTGGAGCTAATACTAAAATCCTTCTAACAAGTCTAAGAGCTTGCATTCTTTCCATTTCACTTCGTAAATTAACATCCATGCTACGAGCCACAAAATATGGATATTGTAATTTATTAATTGCAATAACATCTTGTTCTTTCTTGAGCATATATCGTACAGCACGTAGTGCAGCTGCACGAACTTGTGTTGCTTCATGGACAAGTCCCATCCGTAAACTATAAAATCAACACATAAATAAAGTACTATAAAATATTTATACCTTGTTTGTAGTAATGTTCTTTAGTTCTTACCAGCAAAATACATCATTGGTGGAATATCCATAGTCTGGTGAATCATTTTCACTAATTAACTTAACAATGGCATTAAGATACGCTAATTTTTTTATGCTTGGAACATTTTCACGTTGGCAAAGATTGGTCAAAACTTCTTTTACATTTTCTTTCAATCCTACAAAATAAATCAATTTTTAGTATTGACCTAGAATATAAATAGTTAGTTTTTGGATGAAATTGCAATAAATCAATATTTCCGTATAGTTTATGATGGGGATATAATTAAAAATTCGTTTATTGCTATATTGACAAAGTTATAAACATTAACATTACATGTAATTCTATATTTTTCATTAAAGATTTCTTATTTCAAAAGTTTTTGTTTTGTCTATTTTACAAAAAACATCTATTACATCGTAAGACGCAAATTAAATATAAACAAGCATATATAACCGTAAACTGATGTGAGTTAGTCGTGTTATCAAAGTACTATGGGTACAAAGTTGCATATTACAGGTTAGGTTACTAACCTCTTGACAGATCGAGTTGCACGCAGCTGTCTTCACTGTCTTGACGACCTATAAAAAGAACACATAAATAGGAAACGACGTAGTTTCGAAATAAAGAAATTGACAGCCAATGTTCAACGTACTTCGATGAGATCTGCTCGTACGAAGACTCCTACCCCAAATCATCCAACTAGAAATTGCCATTTCTTTACCGGCTGCTACCCACGATCACAATCAACACTTTTTGTCCGATTGTTACTACGAGTCTTTTGCGTAGTATATGTCATTCTCACTGTTAACCCAAAGCCCGAAGCACTATAAATGCACTACTGATAAATCAAGTGTAATACGAGTCAAGTGTTACATGAGAACGTTGCACTCAACGTACCGCACTCTTCGGGAAATTTGTTGGTACCTGAGAAAGTTGCAAGAGTCACGGTAGACATGCAATCAACGAGAGAGAATGTAGTTTTCCTCTAATTTTCCGTTAAATCTTAAAATCTATGCGTTTCTTATTACTTTATTTTTCAAAAGATATTTTATAGCGAATACAACTCCGTATATTTTCTACTTTATTTTTGAAACTGTAATATATTTTCTACTATGTGAATGTACAAGCAAAATACGCTGTATGACATGCTTGACTGGTCTAGACTAGTCAGTGTTCAGAAGATTGAAATTTCGAAACAACAATGTTTTATACTTATGTCTTTTTGTATAGTTACTTCGATCAACTGAAAATTCTTTATACTTTATTGATTATGTAATATTCATGTACAAATATCATTGTTGAAAAAAATAAAATAAAAAATGTTATTTTACTTTAAAAAAAAAAAATAATTTGATCTATATTAAAGAAATGTTATATACGGCGCAAAAATAGGATAAGTCGTAAAAGATTTATTAAAACGTAGAAAGTAAGAGTAAAGTAAAATTTATTATTATTATTATTATTTATTATGATTGTAATGTTTATTTATTATTTTATTAGAATTATAAAATTATTTATATTTATTAATTATGTTTAGTAGCAAAACTCATCACACTCTAATCATGCTAGATGGACACACTGTAGTCGCGAAGTAGCATTCAACATTCAACAGTCGACTAAAGGACTCTTTTATTAAAATTTATTAATAATGGCACATATGGTGGATAATTTAATTCAACCTAATTTAGGTTCAGTTACTGATTCTTTAGTTCCAGAATGGCTTAGTTCAGAGCAAAGTACAGGAGTAAGTTTCGATAAATTTTGACATTAACATGATGTAAGGTTAGAATGACAATGCAAACTATGAAATATCTTGAACGAAAATTCCAAATAAAATAAACTTCTTTTACTGTACATATATACGTTTATGATCTTACATTGATAACATATATTAGTAATTTTAATTATCCTATTGTATACAATACAAATTTTGTAATTTCTAAAAGTATGTATACCTTTGCTTATACTTTAATATCAAATCACGTTTATTTAATAATTTTATAAATTGATGTATCAATTACTAATCTATTGAAATCATTTTATTAATTAGACATCTATCATAGCCTGTGAATTTGATGGAGGTGTAGTAATTGGAGCAGATTCTAGAGCAACTACTGGGTATGACATATTACTTAAAACTGAACATTACAAATTTAGTAATACAATAATAATCACAGAAACAATTAATATTCTTTTAGATCTTACATTTCCAATCGTTTTGCTGATAAGTTAACTAAAATCACAGATTACATTTATTGCTGTCGCTCTGGTTCTGCAGCTGATACTCAAGCCATTTCTGATATAGTTGCTTATCATTTGAGTTTGCACAAGTAAGTATAATATATGCATGTATAGGTAATATTATTATAAAGGTAGATCATTAAATCATGAAAGACATAATTCCACTGTTTGTATTTTATTCTTATAGAATGGAGTTGGGCATAGAGCCCCTAGTAGAAACAGCAGCAAATGTGTTCCGTGAATTATGTTACAACTATAGGGATTCCTTAATGGCAGGATTCTTAATAGCAGGATGGGATAGCCGTAAAGGAGGTCAAGTTTATAGTGTTCCCCTAGGTGGTATGTGTATACGTCAACCAATTTCCATTGGAGGATCTGGTTCAACCTATGTGTATGGTTACATGGATTCACAGTACAAGCCAAACATGACAAAGGATGAATGTGTTAAACTAATTGAACACAGTAAGCACTTAACATACTTTGATTACTACAATATGATTTTCTAGTAGTTTGATACTGATGATACTTCTTTATCGTTACAGCATTAGCATTGGCAATGTCCCGTGACGGTAGCAGCGGTGGTGTTATTCGAACTGGCATTATCACGGAAAAAGGAATTGAAAGAAAAGTTATACTGGGCAATGAATTACCACGATTCTATGAGGGGTGAAAATCATAAGAACTAGATTTAAACAAAACGTTTATCCAAACTTTATTATGTATTTCCAAAACTCTTGTATCAATTATGTCTTGTTTCTTAATTAAATTAAAATAAAAAAATTTATTTTTTATTTCTTTACAATCGTATCTAATACCAAAAATAATGCTTTGTATGAGTATATGTGAAGCAAATTCAATAAGTATCGTGTTAAGAGTTATAATACTTCCTAATAGCCGTTAATTCTTTGACACCCAAAAATCATCCAGGAACTTGGTTGAAACGCGACCGTCAATGTGATCAAACACATCTACACAACTACTACCATATTTAGGTCGTATTATCCACTTACGATTCACTCCGGTATATACCCGGCCGTTTTAACTTCGTACTTAATGTCCATTGTCGGTTTAATGAGAAAATTGTCACAATGGCACAATCGTGATGTGTGCAATCGCATCGAGCCGCTTCGAGCTTTTGGCTCTTTTCAGATGAACTGTCACACTAGTTGTAGTCGGTCTTCCGTGATACCCATTGCAGCCTTCCACACCATACATTACATCAACCTACGTGTTACATATTCCAAATAATTTATCATCCAGTTTAATGTAAACAGAATTATATCTTTTTTCTCTCAAGTGTCACATCGTGTGTGTAAAACATTTACATTTGGTCACTTATTTCCGTGTTAATTTTAACTCACTGGTCGCAAATGACTGGAAATAGCGGAAGTTCACAGGTACGCGGCTGTTTCTAGTAAATTTATTTTAATGGACAAAACAATTATCAAGCACAAAAATTACGGTAAGCACTATTTATAATTACTGCTATTAGAAATATAAAAATATCAATAAACATTCTTTATCTAACATTTTTAAAATTTTATGTTACATTATAAATTGCTTTAATTTTTCTTCCTATCTATTTTTAAATATGTATACTTGTAAGAATATCATAATTTACTTTTCACTTTTATTACAAACACCTCCGTGCATTTTAAAGAATGTATTATTTATTCATTCTTGGAAGGACTTATCTTGTAATTCGAAACGCCTGAAGGCGTTGCAACAATTACAAAATTCCATTTTGCAACAAAATGACCGTGGAGGGTAGCATGGAGGAAAGTCAGCCGAACTGGTCCGTCCAGGAAGTCGGTGAAATGATGCGAAGTTTTGGCGTATGGGATTATACAGTTTTCACGTTTATGTTGGCTTCTTGTGGTTCCGTGGGCATTTACTTTGGTTTTATCAAGAAATCGTCGGGAGTAGATGAGTACCTCGTGGGTGGTAGAAACATGAAAACATTCCCTGTCAGTCTGAGTCTTATAGCCAGTTTCATATCGGGTAGGATTTCACTTATAAATTTCTGTTATCAGTAGTATTTCCACTGAATTCGTAATATTCAATATTAATATTAAAAACTATCTTCTGCTTATTATAAAAAGAAACCCTGATCTTATTATAAAGATTGGTATTTTGAAAAATTAAATTTCCAATTAAATGATTTATCATAAATAATTATGAATCACTGTTATAATAATAGGTATTTCATTATTGGGTACACCGACGGAAGTTTACGTACACGGTACCAGCTATCTTTTTATCGGTATCGGAGTGATCATCGTTGGTTTTCTAATGTCTAGTATCTACTTGCCGATTTTTCACGAACTCAAACTCACAAGCACCTACGAATACCTCGAAAGACGTTTCGATAAAAAGATCAGATTATTAGGATCGGTGCTTTTCTCGATCAGTATCGTGAGTTCCATTGATCAATACAATTCCAATTAATTCATTGAAATCGTTCATAAAAAGAGAAACACTTGTTTTAGATGACATGGCTTCCTATTGTTATATACGTACCAGCGTTGGCTTTTAACCAAGGTATCGAATGCATACCGAATAATAATTAATAAAATCACCATTGCATAAAATTAACTTATAGAATAATGTATATTTACAGTTACCGGGGTGAATGTGCATGTAGTTACTCCGTTCGTATGTATCGTGTGCAACACGTGAAGTAATTTACATTTTACGAATTAGGGTGGTATACGAGCAGTAGTATGGACTGATTTTATTCAGACCTTTATAATGTTCGGTTCTATGGTACTAATCGTTATCAAGGGAACATCCGATGTGGGTGGATTGTCCTTAGTGATAAGAAGAAATCTAGAATCTGGAAGGCTGGAATTACCCACGTGAGCATTACAATGTCATTATTAAACAAAATCAGATAGATAATATGTTAACACAATTGTTGAATTACACGAATTGTTGAATAGGACAGATTGCAATCCTCTCACAAGACACACGATCTGGTCCCTCGTGGTGGGTGGTTGCATTCATTGGTTGCAAGTATCGGGTATCAATCAAAATATGATACAACGATATCTTGCATTACCCACGTTACAATCAGCTAGAAGGTATATCAATAATTTCCAAGTTTCATTATTAGTAAAATAAAAATTTCGAAATAGCGTGTTGGACAATTTAACAGAGAAATTTGTAAGAATATAAAATATTGAAACTTAGTTGAATCTAAAATGTTTCAGAGCGCTCTGGTGTTTCACAGTCGGTGTGCTAATTTTACTAGGAATATGTGGATACGCGGGAATGTTAATATATGCTTGGTATCATGTATGTGATCCACTTACGACAAAGGTAATGATTAGACTTCCCTGATAGCCTGATTTCACGATATAGCGTGAACTGGAAGTAATAGAAAGATTTCATATATTCAAATATACATCACTTACTTCTCTGCCGTGTTTTTTTTTTCACATTCTATTGGATATTTTACAATTTTTATTACAGTATAAATATTACAATAGCTTGTTTTATATCTTTTACTTTCAACAGTCAGTTTAATATTTTTCAAAAAAAGATACACTTTTCACACAGTTAGCAGGCGCGAAGGATCAATTGCTACCGCTACTTGTTATGAACATATTAAGAGAATTTCCGGGACTTCCCGGCCTCTTTGTCGCCGGAGTATTTAGCGCAGCACTGAGGTATCTTTCTCTTCTTTTCACACACACGACTACGCGTTAGAGAAAGAATCCAATTCGTCTGTTTTCATATTCCAGTTCTTTGTCCACTGGTTTAAACTCTATGGCCGCGGTGGTGTTAGAAGATTTCATTAAACCATTCAAGAAAACACCCTTCTCTCCCAAAGTTACGGATATTTTATTAAAACTCACTGTAGTTATACTCGGGGTCATCTGCGTGGCACTTGTGTTCGTTGTCGAGAAAACAGGATCTCACGTATTACAGGTATAAATGTACAGAGATTTCATTCAAAGGAACATTTATCAGAGAACATGTGTATTTTAGTTGTCTACGAATCTGGCGTCCATTACTAGCGGACCATCACTCGGTATTTTCAGCATGGGAATATTGTTGCCCTGGGTAAACGCTAAGGTAGGCTACAATTTATCAGGTTGGTCCATAAGTTCGTTGCAGTTTTTCCGAATTAATCAACGACGTATTCTCCACCATTATTCACAATTTCTTTCCAACGTTCTGATAGTTTTTGGATTCCTCGTTTGAAGAATTCCACGGTTTTTGACGCGAAACAATCTTCGAGCCAATTTCCCAATTCCACGAGTCATTGTGGAAGGAAATTCGATTTAGAGTATTTTGGAGAGAACGAAAAATGGATGCTGGAGAACTTTCCGTTCAAGATCCTGAACAGCCATTTTGTCAAATTTTACTTAACTCATAAAGCGAATTTTTGTTAACCTGGCACTTGTGGTTTTTGAACAAAAATCTTTTTATTATCAGCACGAACATATGGACCAATCTAATAATACGATAACGATATTGCAACAATATGAATACAGATATTACGATTTTATGAAAAATACAGGGTGCTCTGATAGGTGGTCTTGCTGGTTTGGGTTTTATGGGTTGGTTCAGTCTTTCAGCAGAGGCAGCCATTGCCAGTGGAAGAATAAAGTGAGAATTTTAAGGTATTTCTGATCTCTTTCTTTTAACAATACGTATACTTAAAAATGTTTCGATAGGTTTGACGAGAAACCAGTCAGCACGGAAGGCTGCTACTACTCTTTTCCGCAAGTGGAAAACTTGATGTTACTCGAGCCTCCAGATAATATTTTGGACAATGATGATTTTCTTCCGTAAGAATTCAATTTCTAAGAAAGTTCGTGTATAGATGATAAATGAAAATAATTACTATACTCGATATATTTTCTAATTACATTTTCAGAGAACCTCTAACACTGTACCGTCTCAGTTATCTTTGGTACACTCTCACTGGTGCATTAGTGACGATGAGTATAGGCCTGGTTGTGAGTCGTATTACGTCTGAAGATGTTGAAAAATTAGATCCAATGTTGTTGGCCCCTTTCATACGAAAACTGTTGAAAAACAAGGAGACTCAGCAGGAGGCAAGCAATGTTTAATTATAAAACATTTTTTTAACCAGCTATTTTTGATAAATTTTTATACAACTAAAATTGATATAACTTGCATTAGCGACATGTGTATTATTTTATATAGAGTGGAAACTTAGAAATGGAAGTACATAGAACCAGAGAAGAGACTACAGCTTAAAGCGTGTTACATTAATATGACCTTGACTGATGATCGTGATCCACATTGATCGAATTAAGGGTCGGCAAACTGTACAAGATGAAGTGTTTGGTTGACAAGCTGAAATATCAAATTAAGAGGGTTGAGCCTAAAATAAGTTATACCAATGGAGAAAATAAAGTACAAAATGACTCGTGTTTAGAGTTTGGATGTGCTGAGATGCCGGGAGGACAGGAGGAGCACGAACTTACGTCCGTATAATTCGTAGCGGCACGAAAATGGTAAGAATTGTTTGGTAATAGCAGAAGATACGAAGAAGAAATAAAAACATCAGTACGATCTTTTTTTTTTTACACTTACCCATAGATATAGTGTATTTCATACGTATATTTCAACATTAACGGAAATGTACAAAGATAATATATGCGTATTAGTATTCTAATATTACCCTAGTAATACTTTTAATGAAATCTTTATCCTCACTGTAAAACATATAGTGTTCGAAATGTAAAAAAAAAACACGAAAACAATTAAATTTTTCGAAATACGTCTTTTGGTTCCATTTTTCATTGTATAAAAAAAGAAAAAAGCAACAAGATCTTCGAATAACGTGAAACATACCTTATAAGAGTTTAAGGAACAATCATAAAATAATAAGTTATTAACTAGATTTTACTTATTAAATAGAAACGATATATTAAAACCATGATCTCTTCCCCTTAATTATCATTGATCCTTTCGAAATACAGATACGCGCGCGAAATAAAAATCAAGATTAAAACGTCCATTTCACTTCTCTATCGATACAGAACGAACAAATTAAACAAAAAGGATAATATTCTTCTTCGAAATAAATATAATACTCGTTAAGCTGAAAGGAATGCAAACAGCGGTTTCTTCATGTTACTGCGCATTATGATGTTCAATATATTGCTATTACTATTATTACGTTCTTTTTTTACAATACAGATATCATTATAACAAATTAAGATCACTTTAATTGACTGTAGAAACATTCGCGATCGTTTTGTAACTCGTGCAGTTTGTATTTATTTAAGATTGAGCATTAGATTACACATGGGATTTAGATCACTAACATCATATAAACTGTGACTGGAAAGTGTAAGTATGTATGTCTGTCTGGACAGATCGATCGTATGGTATTACGTTTTTACATGTAGAAAATTGTACAGAAATGATAATTCAGACACGGTTAAGTCTAATATTTTGTACTTGCGGAGGATGACAAACTGCACGACTGTCGTACGTTTCTATAAATTCCTATTTTATTAACAACGTATCAAATGTTCTATCAACAGCATTGCCTTCGTCCGATGATGTCTCGTTTTATATTCACTCAAACGTTTCTTCAATTCCCTGAACATTATCATCGAATAATTTATTATTCGCCGGAAATGAGCAATGGAACATTATTCCGAATAAGCAACAAGAACAATCGAACGTCAACAATTCTTCTTTTTTTTTTTTTTTTTTTTATGAAATATCGTAAAAAGATTCCAACACACTCCTCGTTAGACGAGATATCAATGTTCTGTGTTCAGCGTTTGACAAATTACAATTTGATAATTCGTTAAATACAAATACTGCAAGGAAAAAATGACAAACGACGAATTACGAACGATGCAACGAAAAAGTTGAATAATTTTAATATTATCACCTTGTTCACCCTTTTTTATTATTACTCGTCACCTATCATAGATTACTTTTTAAAGATTTCCACGCTTGACGCTACACTTTAGGAGAGGCGAAAAAAATGATAAGTAAATGTAAAAGTTCTTTACGTTACTTTACGCCGCGTAGAATAGAACAATATCGCAGAATTGTGGCGCACGTCTTTTTTTTTTATTTGTAAAAAATTTAGATGCAGGTCTTAACTTTAAATGCAACAAATATTCGACGCTTTAATAAATAAATATACATGTATATGCGCGGATGCACGTGTATTTATTTATTTATACGTGCAGGTTCCTTAGACGGTCACTTGTTTCATAAAATCATAATACTTTTTTGTGCTAACGTAACGTGATCATCTTAAGAAACGAGAAGATGAAATTTCTGGTACTGATTTTCGAAGGCAAAAACATCGACACTACCGCTCAAGCTAATTTATTTACAATTTTCAGTACCCTTTTTAAAAAAATTTTTTTTATACATCATCCAATTTTTTTTCAAGGATGCTATGAATTTCATTTGTCAATGAATATTTTCATTAACCGATGAAAATATCGAGTACTGATGCCTTTACTTCTTTCCTTGAGGGTATTGTCGATGTTAAACATTCTTAATAGAAACGAACGATGTTGTTTGAACGAAAGAATGAATTCATTCTACAATCAGGACTAGATTTATACGACCATCGGGATGAATTCAAGCGTGACGCTTAATTTTCTATTTTTTTTCCATCTTTTTTTACATCTACAAGATCAGCGTCATGACCTCTTAGCGAACTGGCCACATCGTTTAATTCTAAAAAATTACTTGCAGATCATTGGTATACAAAATATTTCTTGTACCTCTCTCAATTACACAATACAATAGGCATATCAATCATGGTTCATATATTATGTATACAAATAGATAGTATATAAAATATTCTTCGACCATACAAATGCTACAATGAAGATTTCACGATGTCGTCTCCCTCTCTCTCTCTCTCTATTATCAAGAGAACGTGTGAATAACCTTTTCAGTTCTGTATTAGGAAATGAATCGTGAAATTATCTTCTTGCTCGTTAGAGAAACATAATAATGTTATTAAAAGCAATTCCAGTCAACAGATCTGAATAGATTATGACTGTTACGAGATGAAAGAATAAAAATCGTTATATCCATCCGAAAACGTTATTGATTTACTTTGACGAAATTCTAAAATGTACTTCATTAAACACGTCGATTTATGCTGATGGCTATTTGCTTCGAATCGTTACATTTATTCCATCCGAGTAAATATGTTCATTTTGAGGTAGCATATCCGACATGGTACGTTCAAAGGTGAATGACCTCATTGTTTTGGTCCCATTTTGTAATAAGAAAATTTTCACTATTAAAAAAAAATACGTAACAGCTTCATTTCTTCGATAAAAAGAAGTGTATTTTAAATATTAATAAAATATAAAATAGATCAAAATGATCGATTGTTGATAGGAGATATTAGAAAAATTTCATTTCTCCCAAAATAAAAGCTCATCCAGTTTATATCTACTTAAAGTAACTAACGTAACGATATAAAGTGTCCTGTTTAAGAGAAATCGATTACAAACGACAATGGAAAAATTGTTGATAATTGAACAGAGGGTTATATATGGTAAAAAAAAATGAACGTGTTGTTCTAATGTCTTACCTCCGTTACTAATAAAACTACACTTATCGTCAACTCCCCCTCGTCTTCTCGTCCCACCTTCTATTTTCATTCGTATTAAAATCTATATCAAACATTGTGCAGGCGACAGACTTTCCAACGGATTCTCTACCATTCGAAACAAAAAAATTGATATCGGCTATCTCGAATAACGAAGGCAAAAGAGTTAAACGGATAGGATTCAGATTCGATTAACAGATAATCACGTGGACGTCAATGTCTGCCCGATAACAGGAACCTCGTAGCTTACAAACACAAAAGACAAAAACGTTTTCTATCCTTGAAACACAAACATGTATAAAAATTGATCACCGACACGTAATGAGTTTGTAAAAAATACTTTTTACCCGGAATAATAAAGTATCGGCGAGTTTCTTTCGAAGGAAGAAAGGAACTTAAGCCCTATCGAATTACTAACTCTCTAAGCAACGTGATTTCAATTTACCTATCCTTTACTCTATTATACCTAAATGTATGAATTGACTTGCACGTGTGAATACAGGAGAACGCTTGAGGCAGTTAAAATCTGTGAATGAATCATTAATAAAATAGTTACCTCTATGTTCGATTAATAATAATATTCGTATCTCAATCCTAGTTGCTGTCAAGTCTAAATGCATGTAATAATAATAACAGTAATGCTAGTTAATAAATTGTAATATACGTATATATTGTAAAAAAAAGAAGAAGAAATTAAATGTGTATTATTAAAGAAATGGTAAGAATATAAAAAAAAATGAAATTGGCAATGTAGAAAATTTTATCTGCCTCGAAAACATAAATGTTATAGTGTTTAGAATAGTCTAAATGACATTGGAATTGTACGCAGCGGCCAAATGTAACATAAGTGCTAGAACCAAATTCGAAGTATGGTATCGGAAACGAACGCTTCGAATTTGAAAACAGTGTTTAGTTACAATTTGGTCGTTACAAGACTTTTCCTATAACTCCTGGCAAGGTACGGTTTGAGGTGGTAGCGCCGGTGGAAATGGTGCATTTTCTTCATGAATCATTACGAGTTTACCGTACTTCACCATTCTCCTCCTATGTTTTTGCTGTAAACAAGAGCTTGCCCCTTTAGTATATAGCCATTACCGACTCTTGACTTTTAAAGCTTCAAACATTGAAAATTATGATCTCTTTAATGTGAAATACAACATCTACACCTGAACGTCTTCTTATATCTTTAAGTATTCATAAATGATAATAAATATGACATAATTATTCTTACTACAAACGCACCTTAGATCTAAATTTCTTTTATGGATAGTATTATAGTTGTTGATTCAGCGAATATTTAACACTTAAAAGACGAGTCACTAGATTTTTTATTTAGCTCTCATTGAATCCTATTTTATTATTCTAACTATAATTAATGATGTTACCGCGAGAAATTGTAGGAGGAAAGAAAGCTAAATGTTCAATTGCCTTCGAATAAACCAACGAGTTACGCGGTGTCTTTTAAATGTTAACAAGATATGATGAAAATAATATCAAGGTTAATAAAAAATCTTGTGCTGGTTTATGCTTTCTCTCTTTTCTTTTTTTTTATAAAATTTACAACTGCTATAAGCCGGTATTTGTACGTCGTAGAAACTTAACATAAGGCCTTAATATTATATTTTACCTGCGACATTGTGCCTGCCGTCCAACTTCCACTACTGCTTCCGCTATCGCTGCCACTGGAAGTGATTCCGTCTTCGAGAACAAGTTTAGTTTCGAATCCCTCGACCTCTAAGTCCAAGTAGAGTTGACCCAGTTGATCGTTCACCAAAAGGGGTTGATTGAGATTTTTTAAAGCGTCCATGTCAGCTTGAAGTACTTCGTTCAGGGTTTTAGGGTGTATTTGATACTCGTATATTAGTTCTGGTGTTAATTGGACACCTTCAAGCCACGGTGGTTCTTTTCTTCGTTTACCATAATGCTGTTTCGCACAGTCCTGTAAACAAACATTTAACAATCGATTAATTTACCTATTTTCCACAATTGATAAATACTTTGTAAGTGAACAATTTTAGAAAAATTTAATATGATTACAGTTTGTTTGTTTACTATCAAGTACGACAATATAATTTTATCTTTCATATAATAGTGTCGAGTATGCTGTGATTAAGTACTCCAATACAATTTTTCCATTCGAATTCAGTATCACTTGCCTCTTGCATATATTCCGTTGGCTTCTGGTCCGGATTGCAACTGCTATCGCTGCTTTTGTACAGAAAACTACTGTAAAAGCTCGACGAGCTCGATTCGTCCACGTTGTAATCGTTCTGCTTGTGAATTTTGTGATTCAACAGCATCGGTGCGTCTATTAAACTCGAACAACCTCCGTCATTGCTCACGCAAGAAGAGAACAACTTTCTGGGCGACAGTACCTAATTAATCATTGATTCAAATTTTAATATCCACCCGAGCAATTCGAATTATCTTTTAGCGAATTGTTATTTTACTTTTTTAGAGGATTCAGACATAGCCATCGTGCTGCCCGGTTCCACCTTCACGCTTGTTGTTTGACTGGCGGGTCGTTTCCGGTCGGAGCATTTGTTCACCGTAGTCTGATTATTTTCTCGCGCGGCTGGCGTTTGTTCGGGGATCAAAAAAGGTCTGTACATCATTCCCGCTGTTGGAGCACCTATTACCGGAGGATAAATGACACCAGCCATTGTCGTCACATATGAAACTGGCACAAACACTGTAAATTAGTTTCGACGTTTCAGTCTTCCATTATCTGCTTAACCCTTTAGCATTTTTGCGAAGGTCTAAACTAAAAACAAAAAAAAAAAGAAGAAAAAGATACATACTATAGGGATTTGGTTGTGGTGGTTGCATTGATTGAGGTGGGCTAAGTTTTTCGTGTCGAGGCGATAAAACTGTGGTGTCACTGGTTTGGGGAACGGGAACGTAATACACTGGTATCATCGACGGCAGTATTGGTATTCTAGGTATTGCTTGTGAATTGGTACTGTAATTGTAAAATCCATCGTTAATTTCGATATTTCGAATTTCTTGCATTTCGTTTTTCCGTGAGAAAAGAAAGTACATACTTCTGTGGCACATTGTGTGGTTGAGCAGGCGGTGGAGGTGGTACAGTAACCGGTAAAGGTTGCCACAAGTTAATATTAGCACCTGTCTGAATTACGGTTGATTGATCGACGCTCATGCTTGTAACTGTTGTAGCAACATTCGTAGGAAACTGACCGACGGTACTTGTCCTTGATACTTCATCGTGCTTCGAAACCTGATAAAACATAATCGGAGCACGTTTAAACGTTTGTTTTCTTTGCGATAACTCTTCATAGACAGATTACGGCAATTTAATTAACGGATCACTAACTTTAAAACTGTCTCCCTCCCAGCTATGACTTCCGCATCTTTTTACGCCGTGACCTTGATTAATGAAATGTATGTTGGGGCCTATCGACATTTTCTCGGTGGTTTTCATCCGTGAATCATTCAATTTGTCGCTGTTCTTAATGCTGGACCGAAGTTCCCGATGCTTTTGCATCATCATCTTCTCCATATCCTCGTTGTGACGGTTAAGTAACGATTCCGTCAATGTGAGTGGTTTGAAACTTTCCGTGCTGGTTGTATTCGACGTGTTGCCTCTACTTGCCGAACTCGTTTGATTATTCGAGCCACTGCTGAGGTTTTCTGCGCTACCGCTGCCGCTTGCGCCGCTTCCGTTTATTGGTGACATGCATTTTCTCACTGATTGTGTGATAACATCGTATTGAAATTGCAAGTTAGTAAAAAAGATACAAATATTGGTACATTTTAACATAAATATCCCAAAGAAATTAATGTTAGTATTTCAGGATTAAACTTTTTTGTATATCCTAAACACCTAATATCTTATAATTCTTTAAAATTCTCAGAGGTAAAGAATTCGATGAAACTCTTTTGATAAAAAATTCAACGAGCAAATTTAGACTTGTAAATCTTTAATTAATATTTGTTAATTCATTATTTATCGTAATTCATAAATATTTCTTCATTTCTTGTTTAATATTTAAATTTTGATAACGAAAACTCACCTGCTGAATTCGGACTTGTCTTTCCGCCCTCGTCATTACTGGAATTAATATTCTCTTCGTCGCTGCCGTACATGGTGGCAACCGGCGGCTTACTCTTAAAGAACCTTTCAATATTTTCGTTGTAGTTGAGCTGATTGTAACTTGGCGGAGTCTCGGTGGACGATTTACTGTCGTAGTACTCGTGATGGGGCGATATCCCACCAAGCATCACGCTGTCGTGCTCCTGTAACAAGGGATTGCGTGATCCCTTCACAAGTATATTGTAGCGACTTAGAAAGAGTTGTCACTTGATTTCGTCACTGTCAATTGTTTTGCAAAGTTTTGTTGCGTTATAGACGCGTCGAGCTTTCAGTATTTTGTTAGACACTTTGCGCAGCTGTTAGATGGCTGTTAAATTTCGAGCAAGAAAGTTTCTGCGCTATGTAGGTCCTTCTGCAATTTTACCACCGCAAAAGTGCGATATTTACAGCTCACGAACAACCATTCGACCGATTAATATTTTCTCCAGCACTGCAACACCGTTATTTGCTTCAATTGTTAACAACCGACCAAATTCCTTCCGTTATACTGTCTTCTCTTCTAAACCATCGTCATTCATGCATTTATTTACACTCGCTCTCTCCTGCACTTTTCGTTCCCTTTCCAAGAAATTTAGAAAAATTCGGGGAATCAAAGATCCTCGTTAAATTTACATCTTACGATAATTAAAAGAAAAATATGTAAAGTTACTTCGTCTTGTTTTATCGATAATACCGCGAGAAATATTAATTAACAAATTGCTACTCAATCATACATATGTTTTCGAATGAAAGAAAGATCACCGAACGATATCCGATAAATTTTCATCGGAGATTTTCGAAACATTCTCTTAAATCGAAGAACGATATTCTCTTCCATTCTCGCACTCTCATACTGCCTCGTTAGTTTCAAAACCTTGTAAGTGAAGAGACACACTGGAACTCTATTCACGAGTGTCGTATTGCAATAAATTTACAGATCCACTTATAGCCTTTAACGTTAAAGTATCTCAAGCGTTTCTCGAATATATCAGTCTAAACTTTCCGATTCACGCCGTACATCGTGCTTCTCTTCGTGTACGGCTTGTGAAATCGCGTGAATCGATCAATTGATGCATAACACCAGCGGTTGCGCTTAATAGCTGAAGCACGTTGAAGAGACAAGAGAAGAGACTTAACGCGTTTGTTCGATTTCAGATGATACGATTTGCAACATCGATTAAAAGGGTTAACGTTTGAAGAAAATTCCCTGACACGCAGAAAAATAAATGAAACGTCTCGTTAGTCAACGTAAAGATTCTCGAGATAAACGGGGCGTAGGAGGAGGTGCATTATCGTCCAGAAATATCATGAAAAAACGCAACAATGTTTCAATGAATAAGAATGTAAAAGAAAAGTGATTTTGACCAACGAAACAGATATTGAAACATCGAGAAGAAACAACGTCATGTAACAAAGAACCGTTTCACAGAAGTTCCTATGGCAGACCATCAGTTAGATAGAAGAAGAATCATACGAGACAGACTAGAATAAATATACGAAAAAGTATCTTGGGCGATACATTTCACTAGAAATTTGAAATCAGTGCATATAGTAACAAATTGCATTTTTCTTCTTTCTTTTTTTTTGTCGCTGGTCGATGAACTGTTGCAATCCAGGTTGGTATATAAAAGGCTTGGCGTTTTGTAAATATATACGAATAGTAATGTCGAATGGAAAAAAGAAATTAAATAGACTTACCAACAACGTGCCTACAAGGTTTTGAAATTGACGCTATCCATCATCGAACCTACACAATTTTCACTTTCCTCTCCGTCCGTGTCTATGTACAAAACAGCTTGATAGATTTCTCTTTATCGTGGTTTTTCATTTCGTTTCTCACTTACAACTAGCCACACACTATCAATTATAGCAGCAAATGTGCATAAGTACCCTAACTCGTGAAACTTGTGGCTTTTTAGCGTTACTTTTGTTTTTAATTAATCATCCGATTAGACGTGACATCAGGCTGTAAAATGTTTAATCAATTGCTGTGTTTTCCTTACTCACCTTGCATCTTATAATTTTCCAAATCATCTAAAAAATTCTAGGATGATATTGTTTCAGAAACAGCGAGAATCTTATCGTTTCTTTTCGTATCATCGAACTTTTTCTGAATATCTAATTTATTTTTTATTTGCCATGTAACGAATGCAAATTTCCGGTTTCTTCACGAAAAGATAGCATCAGCATAGAACTTTTCCTATTAAACCCTCTACCTAATCGTTTGCACTCTACTTAAGTCATGCTTTCCTGATTGGATCAGCGAAAGAAAAAAAGAAATTTGACGAAGACGATCAAAACTCGTCTGCCTTGAAACGCTAACTATACGGAACGAGTCAGAGGAAATTTCGCTGACTAATTTAAAAATTTCTTTTCCTAAGAAATTCTTTTGCTAACAAATTCTATTATTAAGAATCAAAACTCGTCTATTTTAAGAAGCTAATTATACAAAGTAAATTTTGCTACCTAATCTTCGCGAAGAATTTCTTTTCTCCTAGATTCTGTCGATACTGGCGATACATATTTGGTACGATGCATTCATTTCATATTCTCTATTTCTTCTTTTTACAATAAAAAGAAGTATAACAAAGCGTACATACAGAACAACTTTGACAAATGTCCCGAATGACATGCAACGATAAAGCAAATGGCACAATGTGCCCTTTTAGACTCGAAATTTGAAATAAAAGGAAAAAAAAACCTTTGAACTCGACGAAAAATAGTAAGGAAAACGATGCTGTACCAAAATACTATCGTAGAATTCTAAAACGATACGTCCTAGACAAGATCTAAGGGAGATACTTTCTACGTTGAACCCATCATAAGCGAAACGCCGGTAATATTACAGTTATTGTAAATATACTTATAGCATACCACCACAGCGCATCAGAGTACTACTATCAAAATAGATAAGTGTCGGCGATACTAAAACGTAGCTAATAGTCACCGAAAAACTCCTGTCGTCAGTAGCGAGCACATCTTTGCCAAGACCGGGTGTCTTCGTCTCTTGCAGTAGATTTTCCATGAAGGACGCAAGGTCCTTGCACCTCTTTGACACGTCGAGCTCGGTAATATCTGACTTTCTTTGGATGTTCTGCGCAGACGTACGATAGAACAAAAGAGAAAAAGTTGGGGATTCAGCGGACTTATTTGTTGGGATAAGAATTTCCTGGAAACAACTACAGTAAATACTCTACACGAGTCAGTAAGTTTGGATTCTACAAGTGACAGTATAGATGGTCCTACGCCTAGGTCTGCGTCATTGCTGCGCCCATGTTATCTCGCTCACAGCCAGTCAAACGTGTAACGCTACACCAGTCGGTTTCCTTTACGAGATTTCATGGCTCAACAAATCATAATAGAAAAATATAATTTCTTTAATTTTACTTTTTTTCATCTGGAATTTTTTTTAACATGTTGGTGAGATTTTTCTGATGAAAATGATATCAAACACGATATAATTTGAACAAAATTTACTTATTAACACGTTCACTGTCACGCCAGATTTACAAGTTGCTGTCAGGCGGCCACAAGAAAATACATTTTAAATATAGGATTATAGTATTATGATTTATAATTTTTTTTTTTTTTTTCAATTGAAAATAATGTCTAGCTAGCTATGACGTTCAAAATTTTTAGTTGACAACATTTATTTTATTTTAATTATTCTAAACATTTGAGGCACTCACTGATGACCACCATGGCCATACCGAGGAAACAATCTAACGTTAAAACTTATTGAGTGATTAATTTAATTTCATAATATATCGCTTTAGCGAGCCACCGTTTGGTTGCCAATTGTTTATCACATAGAGTCGGCCTACCTCCAGGGTCGATAGCAGCAGAAAAGCTGCTAAACAATTAGAATTAAATGTAACGATAGAAATTATTGCAATAATGCGTAATGCAATTGAAAAATTGAAAGAATCAAAAGAAAAAACGCGAATTCATATCTTTCTTGATTCTAGAATATAAGAAAATTTGAATTAAATATACAACGAGCATTGGGGAGAAGCATAAGTTAAACGCGTAAAAATATTCAATAATAAACGAACTAGGGATGAAGCTATTATTTCAATACGCGATGCACTGACTCTAGTATTTACTAAAATTCAAAAATTCTCGTATAAATTCCGAAAATAGATTATTAATTACGGTAAACTACTGAGACGGTTTAATTTAGGGTGGGCATAGTGCACTCGTTCCAAATCATCTCACAATATACAATAATAAATCAACTAACTACTTAACATGCAATTCATGCAAATTCCTTAGATGGTAAATTATTAGTAAACAAAATAGCAAGTCATAAAATAAATTCAATATCAGAGAAAATATATGAAAAATACTGAAAGAAAAATTTCAAATCAATTTCAATTGCTGTAACGAAAAAGCAACCTCTCAAAGTCATTTCAATATCCTATTCGACAAGTCTGAAGAACAACGATGACTAAAATTCAAATGTTTATTTCCCTAAACCTTCAAAATAATTTCGAAATATTTTATTCGAAGCGGAGTATTCCAAGTCAGTATCGATAATTGAAGAAATTATTTGATTGTATTTAAAAGAACCGAAAGGAGAATATTTAAAGTCTGATATTAAATGTCTAGCAAGTACCAGTAATTGGTAAAATGATTTATATTTGTTTTAAAAGGAAAATTTCTAATAGGTATTAGTTAAAATGAATTGTTATTCAGTCTATTGTATTGAAATTCTAATTGATTCTAATGTATACAAGTGTTACAAGAAGGCTGAGTGTGTACAGGGTGGACACTGACTCTAGTATTTACTAAAATTCAAAAATTCTCGTATAAATTCCGAAAATAGATTATTAATTACGGTAAACTACTGAGACGGTTTAATTAAGGGTGGGCATGGTGCTGCTTTAGTTTGAAATGATTTATAAACACATAATTAACAGAGGAAAAACCGTGAAACGGCAAAACGTCTACATTCTAATTGTTATAACATGTAAACAGAACTTTAAATTTAGTGTAAACAGAAAAAATATATAATACAATTTATTTCACGGTATTGCAACAAATAAACGTTGAATCAATATTTAATTCGTATAAAAACAATTATTTAACGTAATAATTTTACCTTCACTATGGCTATTTTTAATCTACGACCACAGGTCAACCTGATTTCTAATCCTTACGAACTTTAAATTCAGTCTAAACTGAGAAAATATATAATACAATTTATTTCACGGTATTGCAACAAACAAACGTTGAATAGATTCTTAATTCGTATAGAAACATTTATTTAAAATAATAATTTCACCTTCACTATGGCTATTTTAAATTTACGACCAAGGGTCAACCTGATTTTTAATCCTCCGAACTTGATTTCACAACGAGAAAGTAATAAGATCGTTGAAACGTACTTATTTGTCAAAGAAACTTGCAAAAATGTATAAATAATAATATGTAATGTTTTAACAAATTTTTGGAAGTATAAATTAATAATAAAATTGTGAAAATTAATAAATTATACGTTATTATAACATTAATAGAATTATGACTAAACCGAAGTTCGAAGTCGAGTATTTAAAGTCTGATATTACGTGCCTAGCGAGTGCCGGTAATTGTTAAAATTTGTTTAATAATTAGTAATAGAAATTCTAATTGATTCTAATGTATACAAGTGTTACAAGAAGGCTGAGTGTGTACAGGGTGGACATAGACTAGCTAGTAGCCCCCGACCACTCTATTCACATCTCAGAACCTTCAGGTCAAAATACGCCGCGAAGTGTCTAGGGCCCAGTATAAAGGGTAAATGATTTCGCGGGACATCGGCGGGTCCTTATATACCTGCGGTACCCTCTCCCCAAAGTCATTAGCAAAATCGTCGGTTAGGTCAGGCGGGAAATTTTCGCGGGAGATTTTCGCGGGAGATTTCCGATATCGTAACACGGTATAATTTATCAATTTTCACAATTTTATTAAAAATTTATACTTCCGACAATTTGTTATAACATTGCATATAACAATTTATACGTTTTTACAATATTCTTCAATGGAAACATAGGTTTTAGCGTTCTCGTTACTTACTCGTGGTTAAATTAATTTCGTAGGGATTAAAAATCAGGTTGACCTGTGGTCGTAGATTAAAAATAACCATAGTACAGCTAAATTTATCGTGTTAAATAATTCTTCTTACACGAATGAAAAATGTATTCAACGTTTGCTTGTTACAATACCATGAAATAAATAAGTTTCTTTGACAAATAAGTACGTTTCAACGATCTTATTACTTTCTCGTTGTGAAATCAAGTTCGGAGGATTAAAAATCAGGTTGACCCTTGGTCGTAAATTTAAAATAGCCATAGTGAAGGTGAAATTATTATTTTAAATAAATGTTTCTATACGAATTAAGAATCTATTCAACGTTTGTTTGTTGCAATACCGTGAAATAAATTGTATTATATATTTTCTCAGTTTAGACTGAATTTAAAGTTCGTAAGGATTAGAAATCAGGTTGACCTGTGGTCGTAGATTAAAAATAGCCATAGTGAAGGTAAAATTATTACGTTAAATAATTGTTTTTATACGAATTAAATATTGATTCAACGTTTATTTGTTGCAATACCGTGAAATAAATTGTATTATATATTTTTTCTGTTTACACTAAATTTAAAGTTCTGTTTACATGTTATAACAATTAGAATGTAGACGTTTTGCCGTTTCACGGTTTTTCCTCTGTTAATTATGTGTTTATAAATCATTTCAAACTAAAGCAGCACCATGCCCACCCTTAATTAAACCGTCTCAGTAGTTTACCGTAATTAATAATCTATTTTCGGAATTTATACGAGAATTTTTGAATTTTAGTAAATACTAGAGTCAGTGTCCACCCTGTACACACTCAGCCTTCTTGTAACACTTGTATACATTAGAATCAATTAGAATTTCAATACAATAGACTGAATAACAATTCATTTTAACTAATACCTATTAGAAATTTTCCTTTTAAAACAAATATAAATCATTTTACCAATTACTGGTACTTGCTAGACATTTAATATCAGACTTTAAATATTCTCCTTTCGGTTCTTTTAAATACAATCAAATAATTTCTTCAATTATCGATACTGACTTGGAATACTCCGCTTCGAATAAAATATTTCGAAATTATTTTGAAGGTTTAGGGAAATAAACATTTGAATTTTAGTCATCGTTGTTCTTCAGACTTGTCGAATAGGATATTGAAATTACTTTGAGAGGTTGCTTTTTCGTAATAGCAATTGAAATTAATTTGAAATTTTTCTTTCAGTATCCTTGTGGAACTTGTAACGAATGCTGCTCCTAATTCTTAACACTTGCTGTAAAATTATTAGTTTTTGCATTTTAACAAAGTGAATTAATATTCCTAATTCTTATAAAATTATTAATAAACGTGAAATATTCTTGTAACGGTAATCTTATGAGAAATACTCGTATAATTAATTCTGAAATTTTTGCTTACATGTTATAACAATTGTAACGTTTACGTTTTGCTGTTTCGCAGTGTTTTCTCTGTGAATTCTATGTTTCGAATTTATTTCAAGCTAAAGTAACGTCTGTGTACTGCAGTTCAACCTAATTTACTTAAATTCGAATTACGATACAGTATATTTACAATTCTACCTGAATTTTCGAAATTATAAACATCACCAGTAAACTTCCATTGCATGTAAACAATATTCTCCACTAATCGGTAATTATAAAGTAATTATAAAGCAATTATAAAGTAATTACCGAAAAATATACACTTACATTCTCATGTTGGATCATTTACCTCTCTTCTTCTCGTCTGTTCACACATTCTCTCTAACTCTCCCAATTTCGTTATCCAATCGTTCCTATTTACTCTCATTTTCAAATTTCACACGTTATTCGCTATTATCCTCCCTTAACAAACCAACAAATCCCAGCACAATTAAAACAAAAATAATACACTACCAGCTTTTAAAAGAAATATAAATCATTTTACCAATTACTGGTACTTGCTAGACATTTAATATCAGACTTTAAATATTCTGCTTTCGGTTCTTTTAAATACAATCAAATAATTTCTTCAATTGTCGATACTGACTTGGAATACTCCGCTTCGAATAAAATATTTCGAAATTATTTTGAAGGTTTAGGGAAATAAACATTTGAATTTTAGTCATCGTTGTTCTTCAGACTTGTCGAATAGGATATTGAAATGACTTTGAGAGGTTGCTTTTTCGTTACAGCAATTGAAATTGATTTGAAATTTTTCTTTCAGTATTTTTCATATATTTTCTCTGATATTGAATTTATTTTATGACTTGCTGTTTTGTTTACTAATAATTTACCATCCAAGGAATTTGCATGAATTGCATGTTAAGTAGTTAGTTGATTTATTATTGTATATTGTGAGCTGATTTGGAACGAGTGCACTACACTCGTGCACTATGCCCACCCTAAATTAAACCGTCTCAGTAGTTTACCGTAATTAATAATTTATTTTCGGAATTTCGCGGATGCATCGCGTATTGAAATAATAGCTTCATCCCTAGTTCGTTTATTATTGAATATTTTTACGCGTTTAACTTATACTTCTCCCCAAATCTCGTCGCGTATTTTATTCAAATTTTCTTATATTCTAGAATCGAAAAAGATACGAATTCGCGTTTTTTCTTTTGATTCTTTCAATGTTTCACTCGCGTTCTACGAAAGTTTAGTTCAATAATAATATTGAAAATAATATAAATTCGCGGTTTCTCCCTTTCTGAATAAAACTGAAATAAATCGCGTTTCGAAGTACTTTTCGCCTTGTCCATTCCACAGTGATTCACACTTTGTGAGT